TCATAATAATTCCATTGAAAAGAGTTTTTTTTTTCTTTGAAATCAAATATATAGCAGTCGACTTCATTGTTAAATAAAAACTACGTAATGAAATTTTATTTTCGAAATGAATTCCTTCACTTGAAGTTGTTATAAATAATTTAAATGAGGATATAAAGTCATATTTACTCTTTTCTCTTTTTTTTTTTTGATGAAATACATTCTTCTTTCATTGTTCGTCATCTGAAAACATATAAGAAAAAAAAAGAAAAGAAAGTGTGAAAAATAATAAAAATCATTTGCAATGGTGATATTTAATACAAATAACTTAGCTACTGCTGATTTACAGTCAAATAAACAGTTAAATTCAATTCAACGTCAACAAGTAATTAAATTAAATTAAATTAAATAATATTTATTAAAATAATTTGATTTTAGTATTCTACTCGACAGTCAAAAGTATTAACAATGAAAACTATAAATTTATTATATACAGAATTAAATCAACCATCAATAAATAATAATCATCAACATAAAATAAAACAAAATCTTCATCGACAATTACCAATTTCAATTCGTCGTCATTATCCTAAGTTAGAAAATCTATTCCTTCATCAGCAACCGTCAGATGTTAATGGTGTTTTTGGAAATCAATTGCAACCAACTCTTCCATCTCAGTCTACGTTTCGAAATAAATCCTCTCGAAGATTTTCATTAAATCAAAAATCATTAAATTATTCAAAAACTATTAGTGAAAGTACAATCAAACATAATACATATAATACAAAATTATTACATCCTCTTCAAATACCTATATGGACACCAGTATTACAAGAGAAGGAAATCACTCATACTAGAATATTACGTTCAAAAACTCATTTATTAAAACATTCTAGTAATCATAATCATCAATTAAAACAAGGAAAAATTAATTTAAATGGAAAACAAATTTCTATTCCCGAGTTATATATTACATCAAGATCGACAAATCATCATTTAGAAATACTTAACAAAACAAATATTAAAGATTTAATTGATGAATGTAAATGTAAAAGCATTTTCCCTATGTTTTACATGTTAATCCTACAGAATTTTTGTTGAAAATATTAAATATAAACAATTAATTGTTTCTTTTTTTTTTTAACAGGGGACGATCCTGAATCAAGCATTGCTGTTCTATCAGACAGTGCAGAATCAGTCACCGTCCATTGTGATAGCCCAATGTCCATTCAAAATCCTCAAATCAATATTCAAAAATTTGATTCGACTTTAATATCAGATCAACAATCATTGTCCTCTAGTTCATCTAATGATAATTCTGAATTGAAACCAGTAAAAATAATGAATCTACGACCATATCCATATATTACTCCTTTACCACCAGTTGTTGAACATGCTAATGATGAAGAAATATATAATGATACTTGTTAACAAATTATTTTTTTTTTCAGTTTTATCTTAAACCTCTCTTTCGATGATAATATCACTTGTAAATATTTATTAAATTAACAAAAAATAAAATTTATACAATACAATTGATATTTTATTAAATAAAATTTCTATAAAATAAAATAAATTGTCCTAGTTACAATGTCAGTTGTCGTACTATTGAATAGAATACTAAAGATAATCAGAATTTTTTCTTCCAGCATATGATTGATTTCTATTTCGTACCATCAGAATTAACCTTAATAACAAAAAATTCCATATAATACAAGTAATTAATTCGTACATCATCTCTTTGGTATCATTTGTTAATCATATTCTTTCATCATTGATCATCAATTGTAAGCACCTAAAAATTTTCATTTCTTATTCTTTTTTTTTTTTTTTCTTTTATTTATTACAATAAAAACAGAAACCATATAAATGTATCACAAAATTTTATTGAAATAATAGCTTACCTTAAAAATATTCGTTCATATCACCGACTACAAAGAAGTGGAGGAGTTGAATCTCACCAATTATTGATGTTCAGGGTGAGACGAACTGCTCCACTTAGTCGAGTCGAGCATGCCATGAGAAAACGAAAAAGAAGAAAAAAAAAGAAGAAGAAGAAGAAGAAAGAAAAAAAAAATAACAAATGGGATTTTTCACAAGCGATAACGTTTTTTTTTTTTTTTTGTCGATTTTCATTACAATAAACGAATGTCGAAACAAAAAAAAAAGTAATCGACAAAAAAAAAAAGAGGAAGCTTTCTCTTTTCTCTCTGATCTTTACAGCTGTTGATAATCTATATGTGACGAAATTCGACTGCATAGTAAAACATTATAAAGAAACTCAATCTGAATTTAATTCGTTCGTCTTTTTTTTTTTTTCTTTTTCTTTCTTTTATTCTCTTTTGTTAAGAAAAGAAAAAGAAAAGTATTAAAAACTAATTGAATTTAAATTGTGTTTGATTCTCAGCTTAAGTAAAGGTCGTCACAAATACAAATACGACTTACGAGAATAATGATGATTATAGACTTATTGATATGAGCTGGAAGA